TTGGAACGATAGCAGCAGAGCATGTCTTTAATGATAGATGAAAACGAGAAAATTGTGTCAGCTTCCAATAGAACTAGTATACATTCTTCTCTTATTTCTTTTCGTGTCCTTATAAGCATGCCACATAGCTGTTGTTTCAAACAAGCATGTGATATTTACTAAATTTCTTGACTTAAGTCTGCCAAAATAATATTTTTTGAGACAGAGTCTGATGTAGCCCAGGCTGGCTTCAACTTACTGTACAGCCGAAGATAGCCTTGAACTTCTAATCCTGCTGCCTCGACGTCCCAAGTGCTGGGATTATAGACATACCCCACAATGCCTTGTTTTATGTAGTGCCAGATCTTGAACCCAGGGCTTCATGCATGGTAGGCAAGCACTCTACTAACTGAGTCACATTTAAATTAGGGCTGATGACATAGCTTAAGGCTTGGGTTTGATCAGTAGTACCGAAGGATTTTTGCTTGTTTGTTGTTTTGAAATTGTGATGCCATGGAGCTGAGATAATGCCAAGACTTTGAGATCCTTCATTGGCACATTCATATCTGAATGGAATGGCAGAAGTCATAAAGCCAGCACAGCTGCTTGACAAAGATCCAGCAGAGCTGAGCCACATGATGGCTGCCATGCCACCTTTGGTTCTCATCTCCACTGTTACATACTTGGGGCACCTTTAATATTTGTACTATTTGAGGATATTGGATTGATGGAAAATTCCTTATGAATCATTTATGCCTTTTCCCAGAAATGCTGCTTCTAAGCTTATCCAGGAAAGTCCTGAACATACTATTCCCCCCATCCCACTTTGAGGGAGATATCCTTATCTACTTGAAGGTCTTCCTTATGCCTTGGAGGTTGAAGAAGAAGCCAGAGGTCTTTTCATGAGGCTATGAGACATTCTTGAAACATCTGTCCCTATACTTACACAGGAACAAGATATTCAAAACAAAGTTTATTTAAAAAGGTCAACAAGATCCGGTGGGCTAGAGGAGTTGGCCACAGTTCAGATTACAAGCCTCTTCCCGCTGTACACTCAGACAATTACGTGGCATACAACTCTGCCCTACATAGAGACATATTGATGAGCAAAGTGTGCAGTGGAAAGATGATGAAAGTACGAGATGTTAGGACCTCCCTTGTAGCATGAATCTTAGAAAGTTCTTATTAATAAAATCAAACCTGAGGCCAGTTATTGGGGCAAATGCTGGTAGATCAGAGAGACAGAACAAGTCACAGCTATCTCGCCTTGCCAGTTCCTCAGCTGGTCCTGTTTCCTCAGACTGGAAGCGTCTGTGTCCTCATCCCAATGGCTCTCAGCTGGACTGCTGCTAGAAGCCTGAATGCTTAACCAGGCAAATGCTTCTAGTTTCTGGTCCTCACACCTTATAAACCTTTCTGCTTTCTACCACCACTCCCTGGGATTAAAGGCTGCTTTCTGGGATTAAAGGCGTAAGTCACCAGGCCTGGCTGTTTCCAATACAGCCTTGAACTCACAGAGATCCAGAGGGATTTCTGTCTCTGGAATGCTCCGATTAAAGGCATGTGCTAACATTTTCTAGCCTAAGTATCTTGTGGCTTTTCTGTTCTCTGACCCCAGATAAGTTTATTAAGGTACACAATATTTTGGGGAACACAATACCACCATACTCCCTCTCTTAGAAGTTAGCTCATGTAGAGCCACTGCAATGTCATATGACCAAGGAACAACAGAATGCCAGGATTAGACATATAGACAAATTCTATAAGGATATAAATGTGAACATTGATTGTAATAACTGCAGCTTTAGCCTGAGGATTTTTCCTGGGCACTCTGACCACTAAAAGTTAATAATACATTGCTTGAGAGACATGGCAAAATGCCCAGGGTGGTTGAAGATTTTTGTTTTGGTCTAATGTCCTTGAAGCAACCAAAACAACCAGCCTGAGCACAGGCTGTCATATGCCTCTAGATTCTCAAAAATTGGGTTATGGGGTTAATGAGTAATAATGATAACTCTGTTTATTACTGATGTCAAAACTTGAGGGGAAATGATTGGAAATGATAACTCTGTTCTGTCATAGTTTATTAATGATGACTAAAAGATGAGCAAAAGAAAGTGAAACATATGTCCAAAACCAAAAATGATATGATCTATGTTTTGGAACATCATGAATGTATCCCTGCTAACTAAATTCTGTATAAATAAAAAAACACTCTGATTGCTAGTCAGTCAGGCTGCAAGATTCTCCCAACCACCATGGTCTGGCTCACTTCCTTCTCCTGCTGACTCCTTACACCCTCTGTAGGATCCATCCACCACTGGGGAACGGCTCCCGGCACTCCATAAACAAACAGAAGCTCCAAATAAATAGTAAAGAGACCTGAAGCTCAGCCAGTCCCTCACTGTGGCTGTCCATTTTAACCAACGTATTTTCATTTCTCAAACATCATAAAAGATTTTTTTCCTATTGTCCCCCCAAGTGATGTTTTAAATCTCTCATAATCTTGAGCTGCCTGATCTGTGCATGAATCAAATTTGCTAGATTTTAATTGCCTAAGTTTATCTTTTTAACAATTCCTTTAGAAGATCTGGCCTGGGGCTTGGTGCTGCCCATTGATCATGCTCCTTCCTCTTGGCATCCTGAGAGATCACAAAAGCTGTAACGGGTACATCCAGCCTGTGGCCTGTGGGCCACATGTGTCCCAGGCCAGCTACAAACACAGTCCAACACATTTGTACACTACAATACCATGTCTCAGTGCCAGTCTGTGGGATAGCCTGGGTATAGCACATGTCCTGGATGCTGGGTGGCGTGGAGGGGTGGTAGTGACTCTGAGTGGCTGAAGATTGGTCTCTGTTGGGTACAGTGTCCATGTCTGTCTCATAGGTTCTCGCAGCCTCACGGGTCTCCTTAGACGTTATAGAGAAAATGCTCACATCTCTGTATCACCCAGAATGAACCTGACTCAATTCCACCTGTGACCAGGTTGCCTTTGTCCTAAAACTGGGGACAGGAGTGGAATGAAATGGATTCTCGTGTTAAACAATGAGCTCAAAGCTGAGATGGAGGTGAGAACTCAGTGTCTCCCTCTGGCTAGGTGGTATGAACTTGGCAGAGGCCCAGCTAGCTGCTTGTGGGGATGAGGGGGAGACCCTCAAAGACCAACCATTATTCCAGATGGCTCTGGTTTTCACTGTCCCTCCTCCTGACACTCCCAGGTGTCCTTGTGTGTTTGTGCGCCTGCGCGTGACCGCACATCTGGAGCCTTTTTCCACAAGGAAGGTTCGTGTTTGTCTTTTCTTTTAAAAACCGTTACTAAATGTATTTATTATTTATGTGAGTGTGCCCATCCCTGAGCCCTGGCATATGTGTGCAAGCTGGAGGCAGGTTTGCAGAACAGTTTCTCTCCTAATGTGTGAATCACAGGGGTCAAATTAAGGTCCGGGCTGGGCGGCAGGCACCTTGAGCCATCTAGCTGGCCCCTAAGCACATTTCTAACTGCTCAGTTCTTAAGCCCCTGCGAGTGGTCTCTCTTCACAGCATGCTCTCCCCCCTGGCTGGTGGAAGACACGGTTTTGTTGTATTATGTTCACTTTCCTCTCTGGTCCCCTCCATCCACCGTGGGCGCCACTCTTTGCTTATTTAGATGTGTGGTTCCTTGAAAAGGACTCAGTGTTTGGGTAACTCTGTGTGTGCTTTTAGATTATACACATGATCCTGCACGGTACACCCCACCCCATTTTTGTGTGCCAAGACTGTAAATTAGCCGAGGCTCCTGGCTCCTTTGCCAAAACCAGCCTGGCAGAATGACAGGCCTGAGAGAGGAGCCTGGATCTGAGGAAATAACAAGAGATCCTCTGCCAAGCCTTGTAGGAAGCTGGGGACAACGTGGACCGCAGGGTGCAGTTGTGGGGAGCTGAGCCGGTGGGTCCTGGAGCAGAGGATGAGCAGGGTCAGACCCTGGGTCGGGTGGAGGAGACTATTTCTTTTCTTTTCTCTCATTGTGTAGCCTAGGCTGGTCTCAGATTCAGGCTCCTCCTCAGCTTCCCGAGTGCTAGAATTACAGGTCCCAGCTACTACAGCTGGCTAAAGAACCTTCTAGACTGTGTTTTTCTTCTGTTTTGCTCTTTGATTCTGAGATGATTAAGCTCCAGAGGTATGACGATGTCGCCAGAGCCCTTAGAGTCAGAGGCTGGGCCCTGGCGGCCATAACAAGCCGGGCTCAGCCACCCAACCTCAACAGGCCAATAAAACGGAAGCATCAGTGAAAAGCAGAGATAGAGTCAATGCAGCCACGGTGGGAAGAGGAACGAAGAGGTTCAGTGAACCCCAAAGCCATCTTCGGGATCTTGACATGGAGAGGGCAAGAGCTGTGCCTAAGTGGCCCTGGTCAAGGTGTGGTCCTGCCCGTCACTGACCCAGTGGTGCCTCTGCTCTGGTCACCCCTGTAAGGTGGTCTGGCGAGTCATCAGAACTGTGTGGGCCAGATTCTTCCTCAGGTTGGCACTAGAGATTTCCAGGGAAATTCCAGCTTCTTGGGATCATCATCGAAGGGTGGGGCACAAGTGTCTGTCTAGGACATCTTCATTTCTGTCACAGTGACAGCTGTCCCACGTCACTGCCTGGGGAGAAACGTTGGAAAGCAATGCAGGCAGTCTCCTGCCCTCCGAGTCCATCCCTTCCTCTTCTCCTATCCTTATTCCCAGGGCGGCAGGTCATGCCTCAGGATGAGGATCTCAGTCAGTGCTGGTGATTCAGGTGCTTGGTGACAAGGTGCTGAGCAAAGTACCTGCCTTATGGTGGCAGCAAAGGGGATGATGAAAGGGATGGTTTCTCACCTCTCTGTCCCCCTACCCAGAGTGACAGTCACCAGGAGACAGGACATTGGGCAACACAGAGCATCTGACTCAGTCTTGTCAGAAAAGGGAAGGTGTCAGCTGTACAAGGCAAGGGCAAGAAACCGCCTGAAAGCCGGTGAGTATAAATGCTAATTATAAAGAATGTAATTCTTGACACAGGCCAGCTTGCGAGGCATGAGGGAGCACGCCTGAGTCCCAGTGTAACGGAGCACAGCGCACAGCGGCCAGCCTCTCCGTGGCTGTCTTAGCTTCTTTCCCTTTCGCCGTGATACCTCGACAGAAGCAACTCAGGAGAGGACGTGCGTGCTCGGGCTCACAGTTCAAGGTAAGCTCATCGCAGCGGGGACATCATGGACATGGGAGCGTGAGGTGGCTGGTCACGTTTGCATCCACAGGCAAAAGAAGAGAGCGAGGAATGCTCGCTGGTACTCAGTTCTCCGTTTTATACATACAGTTCAGGACCCCTAGTCCAGGGAATGGTGACAACCACATTGAAGATGGTCTACCCACGTCAGCTAACAGAATGAAGATAATATACACAGGTGTTATCTGCCGGGTTGAGTCTAGCTTCTGTCCAGTTGACACATGAGGATGACTTTTTTTTTTTATTCCCCGGAGACAGGGTTTCTCTGTGTAGCTCTGGCTCTCCTGGATTTCACTCAGTCTACATGTTAGCTAGCACTAGAGGATAACACACTGCCCAAACATCCTGAATTTAGTAAGAACAATAATGAAATTGCCTTTTAAAAATTGTTTGTGTATATATATGATGCATGGATAAGCACACAGGTGCCTCCCACCACACACATGTTTGGGTCAGAGGACAGAGCTCTTCTCTTCCACCATGTCAGTTCCAGGGATCAAACTTGGGTTGGCAGGCTTGTTCAATAAATATTTTTACCCACTGAGCCATCTTGCTGGCCCACCGACACCCCTCCCCCTCGATCCTTTTTTTCCTTTTGCCTGGATGGTTAGCTGGACTCATCGGTTTGGGCAGGAAGCATTTTGGGGAATGAGTTTTGAAAGGTCGTTGGCAGTTTTTGTGTGGGCGTGGCACTTGAAACTGATTTTCCATGCCAGAGATCTTATTATTGCACAAGGCTCAGACTCTGGCATCCGGGTGACTTGAAAGCACGGAACAACTTCATGAAGCTCATCATCTCAAGCCTCAAATCCCAAGTTTTCATTTCTGAGAAGGGTGCCTTAGGCGCCTGGGTTGCCAAGGAGTTGTTGTAAGTTACAAAATCACTATTTGGGGGTGGGAGGAATTAAAAAAACTTTTCTTCTATTGGCCAAAATGTCAAAAGAAAAACTCTCATCTGAGGGTTGGCATGGTTGGTTTTTTTTTTTTTTTTAATTTTTTTAAATGCAGTTTGTCTTTATTTTAATACAAATGAGAAAGTTAGCAGATTCAGACTAGGCAGAGGGATCAACAGAGACAGACAGCTGAGAGCGTGTACTTGTCGTCCTGCGCCCACGGACCGTACCCAGAATCGGGGATCTCGCTGGTTTCTGGTTGCTCTTTCACGGGCAAAGAGAATCCTCAGAGCTGTCAGGGCATTTTAAAGATCCGTGCAGAGCTTCTCAGTTTGACAAGTGTGGGCGGCACAGGATTCTATTTGTGCTCGGTGGCCAGCTTTGCATACACCGTGGCTCTCTCTGGCAGTCTTCCGGGAGGAGGTCTGTGTCGGGCGTGCGGGCACAAGATGCCATCCTCCATAATCTTTGTTTTCTTTAAGTTCAAAGTGGTGGAGGCTTCGCGGAAGCGACTCCACTTTATTCTGCCAGTTTCGGCTTCCACGTCCTCCTATAAGCCAGGAGAAACGGCTCTGGCCTGGGGGTGGGGAGAGGGAGGCCTGCCTTTGACAGGGATGGCAGCTGTAGTCAGATTGGACACTTCTTGCCTTCTGTTTCCTCTCTTAATTCTCAAACAAGCCCTAGCAGGCGGCTCCACTTGAATAAGAGAGTCAGGGCTTAAGGTGGCGGGGAACTTACAGTTGGACCCGTCTAGACTGACCCGCAAGCCTGCTCTTTGGCGTGTATGTGTGTTTGTGTCTCTGCGTGTGCCCACGCATACATGCATATGTGTGCCCGTTTATGGGTGGAAGCTGTAGCTCAAGCTCAGGTGTGGGTCCTCAGGACACCATCTACCTTGATTTTGGAGGCAGGGTCGCTCACTGGCCTGGAACGTGCTGATTGCCAGTGAGCCCCAAGGATCCATCCGCCTGTCTTCGTTTTCCTAATTCTAGGATTGTAAACAAAGTGTGTGCTTTATGTCTGTGGGTTCTGGGGGTTGAACATAGGTCCTCACGCTTGCGTGGTAAGCAGTTTATGGGCTGAGCTACCTCTCCAAGCCTGTACTTTTAGCATGCATACTTTATATCTATCTCATTTCACGTTAAGAGAACACACACAGTCGCTGATGAATTACTTTATTTGTAAGAACCTCCCAGGACTCTCTTTGGTACTGAGAGGCGGGAAGTTGGATGTGAAGGGGAAGGTGGACATGGGAAATCTGTCAGTCCGAGGTAATGGAGTGGTGGGGAAGGATTAGTCTAACTCATCAGGCTTTGGTGTCTCATTCTGGGTGGTGACAGAAGGGCCCCACCTTGCCTCTAGGGTAGGAGAGGGGTGTTTTCTTTATCACTAGGGAACTCGGTGGGGCTGGGGAGGGGTGTTGGAGGAGACGGGTCCAGATGTCACCTCTCTCAGCACCTGGGCGACTTCCCACTGCAAAACTTATTGGGAAAGAACTGATACTTTAAACTGTAGCTTTTCCGGTTCCGGGCAAAGCATTCAGTGGCGACTTTGTCACACTGGCACAGCTGTTTCCTACAGGAGTTCTGGTTTGCTGAAATTAGGGGAAAACAGACACTGAGCTGATGGTTGTTAATATCCCATGGCTGCTTGTGGGGACCTGCCTGTTCTGGGACAAGCACTGGGGCTGCTGGGAAGGCGGAACCCCGTCTGATGGGGAGACACAGCCCATCTGATGGGGACGCAGCAGCCAAGCATGGCACTACCAGAGGGTTGCTTTGCTTCCTGGACACCCTCTTCTAGTTTTTTTTTTTTCCCTCAAAGGCAGGGTCTCATGTAGTTCAGGCTGGCCTTGAACTCTCTATGTAGCTGAGGATGACCTTGAACTTCTGATCCTCCTGCCTCCACATCCTGAGCCCTGGGATTCCAGGCATGCTAAATCATGCCCAATATATACAGTGCTAGGGATGAAACCCAGGTGCTTGTGTATGCTAGGCTAGCACTCTGCCAACTGAGCTACGACCTCTCTGGCCTCACCTTCTTGCTAACAGACCTGCTTGTGCGAGGAAGCCCAGGCTCACTGGCCTGGGGATGGATGGTATTGGTGAGAACCTGTGTGGTCCACCCGTTCTCCTTGGCCGTGATTGGTCTTAAGGCAGTATGTATGCAGCTTTATTCTGAATGAAGCGCCAAAAGAGGAAGTCAACAGGGGCTTCAGGGAAGTGTTCATTTCCCCTCTCCAAAAGGGAAAGCCACCTGTCACTGGAGGCTAGGAGGGTTCTTGGAGCTATAGTGTGTCTTGGAGTATAAGTACAGATGTTGGCAACATGCCGGAGCTGAGGAGCAGGCCTGATCCTGGGCTATGGCAGCTACCCAGACTTGGCACCACACTGCCCTAGAATTCTCACAGGTTGCCATCTTTCCAATCTGACCTTGGCCGTTCTACACCATGTGTGACTCTCCTGCAGGCAGCATGGTTCACTGGCGTGCATGCACACACACACACACACACACACACACACACACACACACACCATCCACCCAGCTAGTGTGAGCCTTCTTTTCGCTAAAGTGTCTCTTGCTGCTTTGCTAAATAACAGGTCCCTGTTGCTGTAGTCCACAAACCTCAAGACAATGGCCAGGAGTTCTTGACCCTGTCCCTTCCCTGTCCCTCTGCTCAGACTCATCTTCACATGTCACTGGGCAGCACAGAGCAGCCTGTGGTCCTCTTTGACCCCTTGGCCATGCTGTGCCTTGCTTAGGGGATGGCCCAACCTTCCTCTCCCACTTGTGCCTCACTGACTCTTAGGACTCAGCTGAGATACCGCTGCTTGCAGGATCCACCTCAAGCCTCAGGCTGGGCAAAGGCCTTTTCTGCCTTCCCGTTGGAGTCTTCTGTGAGGTTCTTAAATTCCCCTCTGCTCCAGCAAACTGCCCAGCATTTGGGTGCTCAATAAACACACAAGGGAGGCCTGCCAGCATCCCGGGGGCTTTCTTACCAGCGCAGGTGATTTTGCCCCCTCGGTAACTGAACTTGTAGGACAGGAATTTTGTACCACACCCACGTTTTTCCAGACGGTAGTAGCAACAGTCATGAGCCACGCAGCACCTGGTTGGGGGACACGTCTTATTGAGCCTTCTCACAGCCCTGGAGTCCTGGTGCCTCTGCACTTCCCTTGACCTTTGACCCTTTGCAAAGACTCAAAAACTTTGGAATGGTCTAGAGTGGAGTTCCCAAAGAGCTGACTATTTTGCTGGCTGGGGTTCACCAGGGCCCTGAGGCAGCGGGCACCAGCCCTGCTCTAGTCCTGTCCCCACCAGGGCCCTGAGGCAGCGGGCACCAGCCCTGCTCTAGTCCTGTCCCCACCAGAGCCCTGAGGCAGCGGGCACCAGCCCTGCTCTAGTCCTGTCCCCACCAGAGCTCTGAGGCAGCGGGCACCAGCCCTGCTCTAGTCCTGTCCCCACCAGAGCCCTGAGGCAGCGGGCACCAGCCCTGCTCTAGTCCCGTCCCCACCAGGGCCCTGAGGCAGCGGGCACCAGCCCTGCTCTAGTCCCGTCCCCACCAGGGCCCTGAGGCAGCGGGCACCAGCCCTGCTCTAGTCCTGTCCCCACCAGGGCCCTGAGGCAGCGGGCACCAGCTCTGCCCTAGTCCTGTCCCCACCAGAGCCCTGAGGCAGTGGGCACCAGCCCTGTTCTAGTCCCATCCCCACCAGGGCCCTGAGGCAGCGGGCACCAGCCCTGCTCTAGTCCTGTCCCCACCAGAGCCCTGAGGCAGCGGGCACCAGCCCTGCTCTAGTCCCGTCCCCACCAGGGCCCTGAGGCAGCGGGCACCAGCCCTGTTCTAGTCCCATCCCCACCAGGGCCCTGAGGCAGCGGGCACCAGCCCTGTTCTAGTCCCATCCCCACCAGGGCCCTGAGGCAGCGGGCACCAGCCCTGCTCTAGTCCTGTCCCAGCCAGAGTGAACAGAAGATAGGGAAGATTGGGTTGTCCTCACCGATCTGTCGCATCCTTGGGGGATCCTCTGCCACCCACGCCACAGTGGCAACCATAGAAGGCATAGCTGGACTCAGCTCTCTTTCCTGTCTTAAGTAGGATCATTTGCCAAAAATTGGCAATGCTCCCTTGTATCTGTATTGGGCCTGAAAGGAAACGGAGAAATGGCTGGTGAAGGGCAGTGAACCCTGTGCCCCTCTTCCGCATTGGCATCTCTCTAGTACGTTCTCTCCCCTCAAATGGCTTTCTTCCTCTTCTCACTGAGAGAGGGCTGGGGCAATGAGAAGGAAAGCTGGAGGGTGGAGTGCCTCTCTCCCAGATGACCCCCCACCCTGAGGAGTTCGGGGTCAGGTCTTACCGAAGGCCATGATCACGGCTGCTAGTAGCAAGAGGACCTTCATGTTGTCAGTCTGTGAAGGACAAACATCGACGGACTGGCCTGGGCATTTCCTCCCAGGAGTCTCGGCCTTGCCCCAGCCCCGGCTCTGCTGTCTGACTTAGCAACCCTGGAGCACAGATATGCTCTTGCGTGGGGCCAAGTCATGAGAGCATAGAGAGTAGCTTTTAACAGTGCATCATGAGTGTCGCCTCTTGTCCCTTCCTGGCCCTGTGGGATGGTTTCTCATACAGGAATGATATGGTGCTGGGACCGCCCTTACACCTCCTTCCTCCCTCCTGGGAGACTGGACTCATTCCACAAAATTGGGAAGTTGAAGGCAATGCCTGTCCTTGTTAGACACTCATCCACCTGCGTCCTTACGTTAGGCTCAAGGCTTGGGAATTCCATCCATGGAGTCTGATCCCCAATCTTCTCATCCCCAACTAAAACTGCACATTCTCTTTGCAAGCCTTTCTAACCCTGTGTAGATTACACGTATACACACATGCTCTTGAATTCTCCTTCGGCACCTTCCCAAACCCATACAGAATACTTGCACACAAATACTGTCTTGTACATGTTTACATGACGGGGGCTCACATCCACAGGCATATCCATATGCACACACATGCATACACCCACCAACACAACCACTCAAATGCAGCCACAGGGCAGGAGTCTCCGGGCATTTACCTCTGGGATGATGCTGCAGTTTCCTGTTCAAGGGCCTGTCTTGTTTTCCCTGAACTCCAACTGCCCTTAAATAGCTATTCCTTCTGCAGGGCTGGGGGTTGGTGAGGCACAGGGATGGAGGGGGGCGTGGCCAAATAGTGGACTCTGAGATAAGCATACCCAATGCCCTGGGTAATCCCCCCTTTTCTCCCTTACCATCTGGCAGGACAGCCTTGAGGGCTGGAAAACCCTTCATGTCATGGATTGACATCATAATAAACTCCAGCCGATTTTGAAACCTCGCCGGCTGCCGAGAAAAGGACTCAGTTCTTGGCTGAGGAACTTTGCATAATCCAATCTGGGGGTGACCAACGGGTCGCCTCCGAGCAGCCACTTCCTTCCAGGAGTGGGCAAGGACTGTGTACAGCGGTGGGAATGGGAGTGTTTGTAAGCCAGGGATGTTCCTTTCTTCTGAGAGATTGTGACATTTGGGAAGAGGACAGAGGACATTGATTCGGTTTGTTCATTTCATCCACCCATCATTCATTCGATTACAGAGGGTACACGCCAAGCCTCTGTGAAGGTCCAAGGCTGCACAAACTTCTTGAGGGGTGATGAGGATGATGCAGGAGTCCAGTTCTTGGGGCCCACACAGTCCACTCCAGCACGAGAAGGATTGGATGAGGTTGATTCTCTGTCCCCCCAAAAGCCAGCCCAGCACCTTCGTATTTTCTTCTTCTTCCACTTCACGCCCCTCCCCCCTCTCATCCTGTATGATTTTCTTCTCCGTGTGTTTATGTGTCTGTGGTTGTGCCTGTGTGTGCAGGTGCATGTGTGTGCAGGGGTGTGTGCATATGTGTGTACATGCATCTGGAGTTTAGGGGACAGACAACCTTGGATAGTGTTCTTCAGGAACTGTCCCCCTTGTGTTTGGAGACAGGGCCTCTCATTGACTTGGACTTCATGCAGTAAGCTAAGCTGGCTGCCCAGTGAGTCCCAGGGACCTGGTCACCTTCGCCTCCCCAGCACTGGGATTACAAGGGCATGCTGTCACACCTGGGTTCTTTACATGGGTGCTGGGGATTTGAACTCAAGCCCTTTAGACTGCAAGACAAGCGCTTTACCGACCGAGTCACCCTACCAGTCCCATATGAATTTTTAAACCCACCAAACTACTGCCCCCCCCCCCCCCCCCCCCCGTCCCTCCGAGTCCTCACTTGTTAGGCAATGGGCTTCTTAATGCTTCCTGAGTCCAGGACATCTTTATTCACCAGGCTTCAGGGATACAGTGATTCGAGCTCTTTAGTTCCTAAAGTAAACATCTTTCCCACTGCCCTCCAACCTGTGCTAAGGATTTGGCTTCCATAGCCTTAAGTAAAACACCAGACACCAGTCCTTCAGACATTCCTACAGTGGAGGCCAATGGCCCCCATCTATTCCTCACTCTTTCCAGCCTATGGCAGAGGAATATCATAGACCTAACTAAGTTCAAAGGGTCATGTTCAGGCCAGGACAAACCCAAACAGACACAGCTCATGACCTTTCTGTGTTCTTGGGAGATTATGAAGATGGGAGGAGTCTTCTGGGACACTGAGTCATGGAATGGAGGACATCTATTCTGGAACATTCTGCTACTCTCAGAGAACCTAGTGTGAATAAGAAGTAAAGTATTTTCCCCATGAAGTTATTGATAAACAAGATTGATAATCATTGCATCATTATTTAGTTTATACTGTAAATCATTCAAGCAGGTGTCCTCCTGAAAATTCAAATTTATTTGTCAAAATGCAGATTTTCTTCTAATATGTTTTTGGTTGGATGGTGTCCCCCTCACTTCCTGTTCAAGTTTTGAAACCTTCGAATATGACCCTGTTCGGAAATAGGGTCATTGCAGATATGAATAATTAAGACGAGGTCATTAGAAGTCTGACCCTAGATACCTTGATGTCTTTACACAAAGGAGAAATGTGGGTTCAGGGAGGTGTTCGCAGGGTGACATTTCTACTCCCCAAGGAGCCCAAGATGCCAGCAAAGTACAGAAGGCAGGAGAGTCCTGGACAGACTCTCTCAGGCCTCCCAAGGACCCCAACCATCTGGGCTCCTCTGGTCTCTGCCTCAGAGTCCTGAGCCAATCAGTTTCTGCTACTGATGTCAGCAGTGAAGGAGGTGGAGTCAGCACTCCAGGAAGTGCAGCATGTGAGTTCCCTCCCCTCTTAGAGCCTTGCACTCAGGTGAAGCTGGGTTCCTGGCTTTGCCATGGAAAGCGTTGTCAGGCCGAGCCAGCAATGAAGCAGAGCTCATCGAAGGCCTCTTCAAGCCTAGACCTTAAGCACCGAACTTAACAGAGAGGTGCCCAGGGGGAAAGTGAGACATCCTCAAGTGTGGGTATGGGCTTCTCAGTGGAGAGTCACTCCTTGGTCCCGTGGCTGTCTAATTTCTATCACTCAGTGTAAATCACAGGAAGGTGAGAGGTCGGAGAGTTTTCTTTTATGAACAAAGTTGTAAAGTGGATTTACAAGGAGTGTTGTCGGGAATAGGAAGTGCTAAAAATCAAGGTTAGAAATCATTTGGGCATGGCTTAATTTGTCTTTAATATTTTCGGTTGAGATATCTTTAGGAAAACGCCCCTCATCTCTGTGGGCAGTTCTGGTGTTATCAGCGGTGTGTGGAGTTTCCTGGCTGTGCCAGCAGGAAGGATAAACCAGCCAGATCGCAGGGTGAAGGGTTTCCTTTTCATGTGACCCCACTTTTGGGTCTTTATATCTTGCCTCTTTTAGACTACTCATTTTGGGGTGCTTTGCTGTTATTAGAAAGCCACAGTGAATACTTACATGGCAGAGGAATTACCATGATCGTGAAGGTGGTTTTCTCAGCAAGGCTTATCCACTGCACTCCAGATGTGCTGACCCCTGCAGTTTCCCCAAATGTGAGGTGCAGGGGGGAACTTGACTATCATTTGTGGTAGAGGGGGAGCATTTGTGCTCTCCCCTTAAAAAAAGAAAGAAAGCCACAATGAAGTAATGTACCCTCCAAAGCTCTCTGCCAGCTCCTTCATGCCTCTTAGCCCAGGGTCCTCCCCCGAGTAGCTGATGCAAAGCCTACATCAAGGTTCAGGGAGATCTCATCCCCTCAGAGACCTCATCCCCTGGGGTGGACCATTCACCTTCCGTTCAACCTCTCAGGCTCTGGAGCACTTACAATAGGCAGAAGCTGCCTCCCACTCCATACATCCTGGGGCTCCACCAGGTCCAGGCTTTAGGACTGCATCAATACTAAGGACCCTGGTGACACCAGATGTGATTTTTTAAATTACTTATTTCTTCAGCACTTTTTCTCAGAATCCTGGCCACTGAGTTATGTTCCTTCCACCAATGTCTAACCTAAGCTCTTGGACATCACCGAACAAGACAAGATGTCTGCTCAAATGGGAATCACATGCTGATTGAGGGAGATGAAAACCAAAATGTGTTCTCGGATGAGCAGATTCAGAAATCCTCAGCAACATCCTCACACCCCAGATGCAGCAGTAGGTTAAGAAGGCCACACCCAGGATCAAGTGGGATCCATCCCCAGTATGCAAAGGTGGTTTGGCATCTGCATCGTGTGTTGAGGGAGAGGGAGAGGCAAAAGCCATCCGGCCACCTCAACAGATGTAGAACAGGCATTTCCTAAGGTATATGAAAAAAACAACTCTCAACAAATTAGATAAAAGCCTAAAGACTGTGTATGAAAACACCTTAGCCCAACGTTCTGACCATGGAAAGCTGAAGCTGTTTCTAAGTCAAGACAAGGACTTGCCACTCATAATGAGGCAGGATAGAAAGAACATTGAGGAGGTGGGAGAGGGCAAAGAAACCCTTCATCCTGAGATCTGGTTGGTTCGTCTTTCCTGCTGGCAGAGTCAGGAAGCTGCACACACTGCTGATAAAGCCAAAACTGCCTGCAGAGACGGTGGGCGTTTTCCTCAACACATCTCAAGCCCCAAACCGTTAAAGATAATAAGTAAACTAAGCAAATGGTGCCTTTTCTGGGCTCAAAGGACTTCTAACCCCGACTTTGGGCACTTCTTCCTGACAACGCCCTCTTGAATCCACTTTACAGCTTTGCCTATAAAAGGAAATGCTTTAACCTTTCCACTGGCTGTGAACCATTTTCTCCTAGTGATGGGAATTAGAAAGCTGAGGGATTATATGTGCAGCCATTGCCAAGACAAGCAGTGACTCTCTCTTGAGAGACCATCCCCATACTTGGGTATGTCTCACTGTTCCCCGGGTACCTGTGCTTAAAATCGATGTCAAAATACCTTTTAATAAACTCCAACTCTACATCACCCTGAAATTCTTTCCCATGGTGCAGCCAGGAATGTGGTTTCACTTGAGTGGAAGTCACTGAGCCGCAAAGGAATAGCTCGGGCTGTAGGCAGCGCGTGGACCACTTGGTTAATATGATGATGTATGTGTTAGTGTGACAAAAGGCAGCTGACCCAGCTGGCTGGGCTAGGCTGCCATCCCCAAGACATAAGGGCAAAAGATAAGGAAAGGTGGAGAGAGGGGTGGGGAGAGGGATATTAAGGGTTCAGATATCCCCTTCCCGGAATGGTCCCAACGATCTCCCTTTGGTTCACTCTCTTCCGAAGTTTCCATCGTTTCGCAATACGCCATAGGGTGGGGACCAGGTCCTCATCATTATGGCTTTTTAAGAGACGTTTGTAATCTAAATCATTACCCCAGCTCACCAGTCTTTCACTCTCTCCGGAGCTTCTTCTTTTCTGGAATGTTAAGAATTTCCATGATGTTGGAGCCCCGCAGTCTGTAGCCTAATATGGTGTGGGGGGGGGGGGGGGGGGGGGGGGGGGGCGGGGGCGCGGTCCTGCTGGCCTTGACAGTTTGGGGGCTTTGTTGTTTCCACATGAAGTTCTGGATTTTGTTTTCTATCTTGGTGGAGACTGCCACTGGCATTTTGATGGAGACTGCACCAATAGCTTATCGGGTTTAGTTTGGAGTTTCTTCAGCTGCTTTCTTTTTCCTGGAGGATGGATGCATCGATGGAGGCAGAGACTCAAAGCTTCCACTAGTACTGTATCTGGATCCATCCCTCTCTTTATATACAGTAGAGTTTAGTACATATGTATTACCAGTTTGCCTCTCTGTTGCTGTGATAAAACTCTGACCAAAAGCAGCTTTGAGGAGGAAAGGGTTCATTTGCCTTCAGGTTACAGTCCATCATCAGGGAAACCAGAGAGCAAAGCAGGAACCTGGAGGCAGGAGCTGATGCAGAGGCCATGGAAGAATGCTGCTTGCTGGTTTGCTCCTCATGGCTTGCTCAGCTTGCTTTCTTATACAACCCAAGGCCACCTGTCCAGAGATGGCATGGCCCGCAGACGGCTGTGGGTCATCTCCCATCAACCATCCATCATGGAAATGCCCCCACAGACCTGCACACAGGCCAGTCTGATAAAGGCAATTCCTCAACTGAGAGTCCCTCTTTCTGGTTATGTCGTGGAGCAGAGGAAGGCTTTGCCATTTCCCTCTGAGTCTCACCCCACCCCCACCCCCACCTCCGCAGGGCTGGGGAAGCTTTGCCATTTTCTCATGGGTCTGAGGACTTTACTCACTAAGGCCTTCCTCCACTCCTTACAGAGCTTGCAGCCAACCCTGATGACCCGAGTTCAAACCAGCTGAACTGTTGACATTCTCCCTCCTCTGTCTCTTGATCTTCTGAGATGTGAGTAGGCAGCATCAGATCCCCAAGGCATAGTGCTGTGCCAATATCCCCCTCTCCCTGCCACAATGGACTGTATCCCCTCATACCAGGAGACAACAGAAATCCTTTACCCCTTTACATTGCTCTTGTCGGTACTACAGTTGCTTCTGCTAGAAGTGTAAGCTTCTGGAGGGTGTGCTGGCTAGTTTTTGTCAACTGGATACAAACTGCATTCACCTGGGAAGAGAGAAAGTCAACCGAGGAATTGCCTCCTCCATCAGATTGGCCACGAGCATATCTGTGGGATACGTTCTTGATTAATGATTGATCTGGGAGCCCCAGCCCACTGTGGAGGGTGCCACCCTGGGCAGGTGGTCTCGGGTTATAGAAGGAAGTGAGCTGAGCATGTCACTGGAACAAGCCCATAAGTAGCGTTCCTCCACGGCCTCAGCTTCAGTTCCTGTCCCTGGGTTCCTGCCTTGAGTTCCTGTCTTCACTTTTCCTCCCTCCATAATGGACGGTGGGCTGTAAGATGAAACAAACCCTTTCTCCCCAAGATGCTTTTTAGTTATGGTGTTTATATCACAGCAACAGAAAACAGTCAGGTCCCTTGAGAAAAATAGTGGAAGACTGTTACAATTTAAATCTGAATTGTCCCCCACAGAGTCACGAATTTGAACACTTGATCTCCAGAGGGTTGGGGGAACTTGTGGAGTTTGGGGGATATAGCAGCCTAGTTAAAAGCAGTCACTGGGGGTGGCCTTGAAACTGCTGCCAATATCTGGTTCTTGTATGAGTTTTTGCTTCCTAATTCATCAAGACCTAGGAAGCTGCTGTGACGCACTCCAGCTGCCATGAAGCTGCTCCACCATGCCTCTCCCTCCACAGTGGGCTCAACTTCCCCTTATAAGTTGGTTCTGTCAGGTATTTGTACCACAGTGATGAGAAATAACTAAGACAGAGAATGACTTAGCAAGGTTGAAAACACACAGGTCCGCCGACTTTGGCCCACATGATAGTCTTACTAAAAAAAGGTTTAGCATTATTCTTGTGAGGAAACTGACAAGTCCAGGTGGAGGGGGTTCTGCAGAACAAATGTCCTGCCTTCAAACATCCAGTGTCAGGTACAGAACCAAGGAGGAGCTCCAGCTGGAAGGAGACAAACCAGTCACAATGAGTGAATGGCCAGTGTGTGCATTCTGTGGGGAAAAGCAGAGACAAAATAAAGAAGATGATATTTAAGGGTGCTTCTGCCCTTATAATAGGAAACCTTTGATTGTTAGATAGTTGATGGGCACCAGCTAACAGTATGTGTTAGTGTAAATTTCCCCATGGTCACAGTTTTTCTTGTTTGTGTAAAATACCATCTTCTCATTAGTGGAGAGATGGGGAATGATTTCAGGGTAAGTTTCTGCAATTTGCTCTCAAATAAGTGTGTGTGTGTGTGTGTGTGTGTGTGTGTGTGTGTGTGTGAGAGAGAGAGAGAGAGAGAGAGAGAGAGAGAGAGAGAGAGAACAGTAAAATATTAATAATTAAGGATTTATGGATAAATCTCATAACTTTCAGCAGATTTCAAATTTTTCAAAATGAAACTTGGGGAGAGAGGTGGCTCCTTGAAAACCCAGCATTCTGTTTGCTCATTTGTCTGTCTGTCCGTCCTTCCTTTTCCTTGCTGTTTTGGCTGGGCAAGGAGTGGCTGCCGGCTCTCTCTCTCGTTCTAAGTTTATCTGTCACTCACTTGACTGATGTTTTTGGTGACATGCCTGCTGTGTTCAGTGTCCAGGACTGAACTCCCGGGTTCCCCAGGGGCCATGGCTCTCCCTTGTGAATCTGAGCCCTAGCCAAAGACTCCCACAGGGGTTTTCCCTTGTTAAACAGAGAAGAATTTCGGAGCAATCGAAACTGAAACTGATGCTTCTCTGCCTTTGCTTTTTGGGCTCAGGCCCAGCATCCAGAGCCACTCTTGCCTCTCCAGTGCCTGCAGAAGCATCTATTTCTCCTCCATGGTCCTGGGAGCCATCCTCACACTCCTGGCCAGGACCATATCACGGTACCCGGGTCCTCAGACAGTCAAGGCACTTAGCAGTCTCTCAGGTAATTAAAAAAGTTCCAGTGCAAGCTCATGGGGGTTAGTCAGGACTGAAGGGATTAGCAAAGGCTTGTGACAAGGATAAGGCAGTGACCTGGATAACCTGGCCACTCCCCTCCCCGTTGGAATATGCTGGGTAACTATCCAGGGCCCTGTGGCAGAAGGGCCAGTGAGGTGCCAATCTCTGCTTTTGTTGGATTTTCTGCCATCACGAAGGCCTCTGGGGGCTGAGCAGGGTGCTTACAGGCCAGTGTTCACTGTGGGCTCCCACGAACAACATCCCAGAGTCTGTCCCTCTTATTTCACAGCTTGTCGGCCCTAATGCTTGGGCTGCAGGTCATAAACTTGGGGATCCAGACTCTGACTACTGTGACTGCTCATGGGGACAGGTCCTGGGAGCAGGAGCTGAGATCAGGCCAAAGAGGTCAGTTATGGGGAGAGAAGATCCCCAGACAGGGAGGGGCAATGGGCTGGGGAGAGAGAATCTGGGCAGGTGGGGTCTGAAGACCCCAAGAGGGGTCCGAGAAAGGGTAGGCACAGTTTCTGCCAGAGGAAGCTCCTAGGGCTTCAGGATCCCTTCTGTGAGCCTTTGTCAGACCAGGGCTGGGGCAGTTCCTGAGGCAGGTCATGTCTGAAGTAAGGGTACTCAGATGGTCATTCCTGAAATGAACAAAGCCAGGGCAGGCAGGGTTATGAGCAGGGTGGGTTACGGCTCGTGCTTGTATTTGCCTGAAGGCTTGTCCAACTTTCTCAGGTGTATATGTGTATGTACATGTTTGTGTGTATGTATATATGTATATATACATACATATGTACAGGCATATATGCACATATATGTGTATGCATGTGGAGGCCAGAGGTTTACCTTAGATGCCTTACTCTATCATGTTTTCAACTTATTTTGGGAGGCAGGGGCTCTCACTGAATCTGGAACTCACTGACTGAATACACTGGCCATTTTGAAAGCCCCCTGCCTCCCCAGTGCTGGGATGGCAGGCACACACCCGCTGCCGGTCTTTTGTTCGGTTTTCTTTACATGGGTTCTCGGGAGCAAGCTCAGGTCTATACACTTACGTGTTTGTATGGATGAACCATCTCCTCAGCCCCTAGGTTTCTTTTTAATCCAAACCACAGGAATCATTCCCCTTTGGGGAAAGGGTTCATCCACATCTAGTTAGCACCCTCTTAACTTCTGTGTGCCGGCTACCTAGGGCACAACCCAAGCAATCCAAAGAAAGGTACCACACGATTGCTGGCTCATACAAGGAGCCCTTTCTCCTCCCTCCCGCATCCTCCAGGCCTCTTCCTCCATTCCCTGAGCACTCCCCTCTGGAAGGTATTTGGCCTTGACATTGGAGTCATCCAGGGCGAGCCAGCTCCTGGTCCTCACGTCTCCCACTGTTCTGATCTGCAAGTGGGATGTTGCTATGGGGGAAAGAGACAAGCCTAGTTTAGCAGCTGGCCGCAGGCCTTCACTGTGGTGGTGATTGGAGCCAGGCGACACTCCAGACCAAAAGTGCTTCCGGATGCCCCACCCTCTCAAGGGCAGGTTGTATTTATAGCCAGAGGAAAGGAAGTGGTGTGGAAAGTGAGAGAGGCCTGGCTGGCTAGAACTCATCGTGTTGTGAGCACCTGGTTTGAACAGTAGGGAGCTTGTGATGGCCCAAGTACTGGATTATTCAAAACAAAACAAACAAAACAAAAAGCCAACCAAACAAAAACCTAACCCTTCAGCCCAAGTATTCACATAGGCAATGTTTTCTGGCTTCTTGCATCTTTTTTTTTTTTTTTTTTTTTTGGTTTTTCGAGACAGGGTTTCTCTGTGTAGCTTTACGCCTTTTCCTGGAACTCACTTGGTAGCCCAGGCTGGCCTCGAACTCACAGAGATCCGCCTGGCTCTGCCTCCCGAGTGCTGGGATTAAAGGCGTGCGCCACCACCACCCGGCCCGGCTTCTTGCATCTTTACTTTTTCACAATCGTATTCATTGTGCAAAGTGATGAATTTCATCAGGACATTTATTTATTTCCTTATTTATTTATTTTGTGGGAGTGTGGAGACTTGCACAAGCCACAGTGTGTGTGTGTGTGTGTGTGTGTGTGTGTGTGTGTGTGTGTGTTATGTGTGTACATGTGTGTGTATGTATGTGTGGTGTGTATGGTGTGTGTGTGGAGGTCAGAAGATAATGTGTGTGGGTGTCAGTTCTTTCCTTCCACCATGTGGGTCCTGGGGTTTGAACTCAGGTCGTCAGGTTTGGTGGCGAGCGCCAGGGTGGTTCACTCACTGAACCATCCTGCCGGCTCTCACTATGACATTTTTATAAGTGTGTATCACACTCTCTGCTCATATTCACCACCCATTACCCATTCTGTTTCTCTTCCCCGCTCTACTGGTCCTTTATCTTGTCTCAATAACCCCCTTCTCCTTTCGTGTAGTATGGATAATTATAGACGAGTACTGATAGACAGATGGGTAGATGGATAGATAGATTTCACATACAAGAGAAAACATGATATTTATCTTTGTGTCCCTGTCCTTTCACTTAACATGATAACCTCCAATTCTCTCAATTTTCCTGCAGATGAGTAACGTACTTTATTGCTGAATAATTCCCCATTGTGCATACCTGCCACTCCTCTATTGATGAGCATCTAGGTGGGCTCCGTAACTTGTTGGGCGGATGACTATTTTTTGTAGATATGTTTTATTCATGTGTCAAGTTAAGCTTTAGTTTACTATTTGCAGAGAAGTCTTTGAACAAAACTTTATGGAGGCAGCATTAGACAAAATATTTGCTTTAACAATACCATAGAATCTACCCTATAGAGAAAAGGATTTGCCCCACACTGGGCTTGAAGATGTCAGAACAAGGCACAATTCCTGTCTCTAGGGATTTTGGTGGAGTGGGCATCATGGTATGATGAGGTTCTGTTA